CGAACTCGCGTTGTCCCATGATTTCCGTGTGGGCTCAGCTCTCCTGTCGAAAGCGTTGGAAATGGAATCGCCGAGACCCCTGGCGTGCGGGCGATGCCGGAGATGGGCGGAAGGAGGAGAAGAAATAGTCTGTCCTGGTTTCTGTAGCTGGAGGAGGGCTGAGTTTTGAAATAAAAATGTTTTTGTCGTAATAGGATTAGAGAGGGGGATATAGGAGAAAAAAAAATCATTGGGAATGGTTTCATCTAGTCCTGCCATATGTAATACTTAATAAGCTACCTACATTTTATAGTTAGGTCAGATCCACCCCAGTTATTATTAAAAATGTGCTGTATTTACCAGTGGTTTATATCATCAGTTTTACATCTCCCGGGGAGTAGAGCCGAGCTGCTCTGGTTTACTCGGGGGGCTTCTCCCCCAGAGCTGGCACAAAACCCTGGGAGCGGCTGCAAGCGGAGCGGGGCAGCCCGGGGGCAGAGACCGGCCCGGCCCGGGGCAGCGCGACACTTTCCACCCGCGTCCCCCCGCGGGCCGGACCGCGCTGCCCGCTCCGCGTTATTTATTGCGCCCGGCCGCGTCCCCCACCCCGCCCCGTCCGTGTGCCCCCAAGCGTGTCCCGCGCTCGCATCGTCCCTTCGTGGAGCTCGTCTCTTTTATTTATTACAACACCGAATCATATATAAAGTTTTCAATAAAACCCGAATCTTTCTTACCGTAACTGCCGCTTTCCTCTTTACCTGGGAAACTCCATCCCTCCCGCCCTCAGTGGGCCGGGGAGGGGACGCGGGGGGCGGGAAGGGACCGTTCCCGGGGGTGGGGGGGCAGCGGGGCTCCGTATCCCGGGCCCCCTCGGCCGCCGGCGCTTCGCCAGCGCAACGAAACCCACCAGACGGAAAAGTTTTTCGTTTGATTTTAATAAAACGAAACTCGGGGAAGGGGAGGTAAAACTTTTCCCCGCGGGGCCGATGTCGCCCGCCGGCGGCGTGGGGGGTGCGGGGCCAAAGCCTCGCTGCGGCTCCGGGCGCGTAAGGAGCGCATCCGCGGAGAGCGGAGCGGGCAGAGGGGAGCCTGAACCACGCGGGGTCGCGGCTGCCGTCCCGGGAGGGACCCCAGCATCGCCGGTGGTCCCAGGTACAACTGCGACCCGCGGCCCGCTCCCCGCTGCGCCCTCCCGCTCCCACCAAAAAAATTTCCCCGTGGAGGAGGGAAGAGTCCGGTTTTGCGCCAGCAGCCGCCGGTGCCGCGGGCTCTGTGCCGGCCCGGGGGACTGGGAGCTGCCCCGGATCCCTCAGGTGGATTTGGTCCTGTGCGAAGTTTGGGAAGATGCGCGGAGCACCCTGGCGCCGAGGTTGCTGGGGCAGCGGGCTCCGCCGTTCTCCTCTGCCCCCCTCCCGCAGAAATACAGGGGCTGGGAACGGGAGGAAACACGCTCCGAGAGCTCCGCGGCTGCGGAGCTCAGCGGAGGCTCGGGAGGGGAGGCAGCGGCAAAGCCCGCGGCTCTCCCTGCCCGGCCGGCCACCGGGAACTGCTGAGCCCCAAAGCAGGGGGCTGCCCCTGGGGGCGACGGGGGCCGTGGGCGGGCGTCCTCCCCTCCTCGGGGGGCCGGTGCTTGCCTGGCTTTTGATGCGAAAAAAGTAACTCAGTCCCTGGGTTGAGGGGTAAATAAGTGTGTGTGTGTTTCCCCCGTCTTTCGCCCCCAGCCCGGCAAACCGATCGCAGAAGGCCCCCCCGCCCTGCAGCCGGCCCAAGCTGCCCTTGCCCTTCTCCGCAGCCGGGGCCGAGGGTCGCGTCGCACAGCCCAGCCCAGCCCAGCCCAGCCCCCTGCCCACCCGCCGCTCCCGCCCCGCCGCCGACCTTACCTGGGCGCACCGGGGAGGGCGCCGGCTCCGTCCGGCGGAGGGAAGGGGGGGGTCAGAGTCGCCAGGACCATCACCTCGGGGGGGCGGCGAGCTCCGCGCCCACCCTTCCCGCAGCCCCCGGCCGAGCCTGCGGGGAGGCGTCCGCAGTTGGGGATTGGGCAACCGCGGGAGTTGCGGGGGACTTTGGGGGGGGCATAGATACCCCCTGGTGTGCGTGGGGGGGGAAGTGAGGGGCAGCCGCCGGGGGTGCCTGCTGTCCGCCAGGACAGGAACTGCCCCGGCGGAGCGAAGGGATGGTAAGGTGGCGGGGGCGGGAGGGGGAAGCGCAGCCCGGGCCGGGAACTGCCCCGGCAGGACCGGGGCAAAACGGGGAAGAGGGGCTGGAAGGGGGAGAACTGCCCCCGCAAAGTCTTCCTCCTCCCTCCTCCTCCCTTTGCTTTTTTGTGAATGGGCCGCGGCGCCTTTGTTGAGGGGAGAAGTGCCCGTGTCGCTGACTTTTGCGGGCGAGCAGAGGAGCTTGCTAACCTCCTTCTCTCTACTCATCGGCTCATCGGCTCCCTCCCGCCCGGCTTAGACGGTTCCCTCCTCGCACAGGAAAAAGATTTGAAAAGAAGGGAAAACCCCCCCAACGACAACAAAATAAAATGGGGTGTAGGGAAGTCTTCCTCCCGGGAGACCGCGCTCCGATCGGGGCCGGCGGGCAGCGCCTTTGAACATTAGCTCGCTTTCAGCTCCACTGCAATTAGAGGGAGTTGATTTGGGGAGACCAACAAAAGCCGCGCACCGGAGCCTCCTCAGAGGTCCCGGTCCGCTCTGCCGCCGGCGCGGCCGCCGCGCCCCGACCCCGCCGGCCCGAGCAGCGAGTGGGATCCCGCGGAGCGGCGCGGAGGGCCCCGTGTCACCTCGACCCTCTTCCCCGCCGCTCCCGTGCGGGCTCCGCCAGCTCCCCCCCTTGCCCCCCGCGGTGCGCAGCAACCTCTAAAATCGGGACACGCGGGGAAAGGTGCGGTCGCTTCTGTTTTATTGGGATTTTAAAACACAAAGTTTGGGAGAGCCCCCGGGCGTCGGGGGGGGGGGCGACATCGCCTCCCACTTCCCCAGGAGTGCCTTCCGCGCCGGCGAAGGCGGCGGCCGAAACTTTTTCTGCGGTCTCCTCGGGCGGCAGGGGCGCGCAGGGCGGCGCGGAGCGGGGCGCGGAGCGGCGTGGGGGCTTCCCGAGGGGGGGGACAGAGCTGCGCGGGCGCGGAGCGGACCCTCCAACCCCCCCGCACTTCTCTAAGAGTTCCCACCACCCGCCCTCCCCGCGGAGGTTGTGCGGGGCACTGCGCGCCCGCCCCCCGCAGCCCTGGCCCCGCCGGCCGGCTCTCCGCGGCGCCGGGGTCGGTGCGCGGGGCAGCGCGGAGCGGCGCGGGGCGGTGCGGAGGAGCCGTCGCCCCGCGCTGCCATTGCCCGGGCGGCTGTCAGTCAGGCGGGGAGCGGCCGGGGATTGGCGCCAGGCTGGTTACGCAGTTGCTTTGCGCGCACATACAAGGGTAGGGCCGGGGGTAGGTGATCAATCCTCATCAGGGCCGCGGCTCCATCGCCCCGACAGCGCGGGCCGCCGGGCAAGGTAAACGCGGGGCGCCCCGACAAGTCGGAGGTGCGCGGCTCGGCTTCGGGCAGCGCCCCCCCCGGCCCCCCTCCCCAGCCCGCCTCTCACCTGCCTGCCCCCCCCCCCCCCCCCGCCCGCTCCGCCCCGCGCTGCCCCGCGCAGCCCCCGCCGGGCGGGCGCTCAGTCGCTCCGCAGGTGGCCGCGCAGGTGAGGCGGGCGGGGGCGGCGGGCACCGCGCTCACCGACGGGGCGGGCGGCGGGACGGAGCGTAGCGGGCCCGCGGCACCGCGAGCGGGGGTGGTGAGCGCGGCTGGGCCGGGGCTGCCTCGGGATTTTCCTCTGTCCTCTCTTTCTCTTTTTCGCTTCTATTTCCCCCTTTTTCCCCACCTCTCTCCAGCCGGGACGGGCCGGCTCCGCCGCGTCCCCGACAAAGTTATGCAACGGCGGGTCACGGCGTTGCCACCCGACCTGCACCCGGCCCCGGCCTACCGGGGGGTGCCACGAACCCCCACCCAGAATTTCCCCGGGGTGCCCGCCATACCCCCGGCTGGGGGGACAGTTGTCTCAGCCTCGGCAGCGGTGGCTGCCCCCGGGGCTCGACGGGACCGCCTGGGGTCTCTCCGCTCCTTCCTCCCCTCCGCATTTATCTGCGGGATTTTGCCACCGACCCGGCCGCTGCCTTCCGAGCTGGGTCCCGTGTATGTGTCCGTCCCCCCCGCCGGCCCTGCCGGAGACCCCCGGTAGGGCCCCGCCGCCGTCCCGTCCCGGCTGCCGGCGCTGTCGCCCGCTCGGCTGCCGGCGCGCTCCTTTTTCCTTTTCCCCTTTTTAACTCTTATCCATTTCTAATTAAAACGTCCCCGTCTGCTCGCTTTTAAATTAATTATACTTCCCTCCTCTGATACCTCCTTTTGATTCCTAATCCAATTATCTTTTTAAATAATTGCTTTATCTCTCCCGATCGCCGGGCACTGTTGCCTCTCGGCACTTGCGCGCAACTCGCCTTCGTTTAAAAAAACAATAATAAAATTAACAATCGGAAGCCGCCCGCCCGGTGTCCCCGCGCCGGGTGGGCGCAGACCTGCGGGAGCTCTGGGCGCCCCCCGGCAGGACTCGGGGCGGCCGGAGCCTCACCCGCTTCTCTCTGCTCTCTTCCCAGGCGCTCCGGCCTCGCCTCTGTGCGGGGAAGAAATCCGCCCGTTTCCCGATCGTCGTTACTATTTTAAATTTTTTTTTTCTCCTTCATTTTTATTTTTCCCTCACTTCACCTGCGATCACTCGAGGACCTCGCGGCGGTGACGGCGGGACGGAACGAAAAAAAGTCCTTTTACGCTGATTTTCTCCTCCGTTTTTAAATTATCGTTGGCCTTTAATTTTTTTTTTTTTTTTTTGCCTCTTGTTTGGTTTTTTTCCGGGCTACTTTTTGTCGGCTTTTTTTTTTTTCCTTCCCTTCTTTTTCCCCCTTCCCACCCCATACATTTGATTTGATTTTGAATTGGGTTCGCTTTTTTTTTTTTCTGCGGGACTTTGGAAGAAACTACCCGGCTTTTAGCATGATGTCTTACCTCAAACAGCCCCCTTACGGCATGAATGGGCTGGGGCTGACGGGCCCTGCCATGGACCTGCTTCATCCCTCCGTGGGGTATCCGGGTGAGTACCACGGGCCTCGCCTGCGCCCCCCCCCTCCTCCCCCCGGTTCCACTATCCTCCAGCAAGCGGAGGGCGAAAAGTTCATGTCCCAGGCTGTTTTGGAGGACCCGATGGGGCTGTACGGTTTTGGTGGGCTGTGGGGTGGGTCCCCCTGTTTGCCTGCACCCCTGGCTGGGGAGAGTGGGGTCTAGCTGAGTTTCTCCCCTGTTCTGGGGGTTTCTTCGTTCTTGCGGCGATTTTTAAGGATAAAAAAGTTTTAAATAAAGAAAAAAAAAGTAGATTTATTTCGGCACAACGAAATCTCCCCGTGGCTCCCTCTGGAGCCAGGCCTGACCCTTCCCCAGCCCTGCGCCCCTCACCCTGCCCTCAGCGAGACGGGGTCCAGCAGCCATGGGGGTGTGGGGGCACTGCTGCAGTTTGGGGTCAGCAGCAGGGGTTTATCTCAAGCTGCTGCACCAGGGATCCCGGGGCTCCCGCCGTGCTGCGGAATGTGCGGGAGGTGCGTGGGGATCCAGCGTGACCAGTGTGGCCGTGCTCATCCCCCAGCCACCCCGCGGAAGCAGCGGCGGGAACGCACCACCTTCACCCGCTCGCAGTTGGATGTGCTGGAGGCTCTCTTTGCCAAGACCCGCTACCCCGACATCTTCATGCGGGAGGAAGTCGCCCTGAAGATCAACCTGCCCGAATCCCGAGTCCAGGTACCGGAGCTGCGTGGGGGAATCCTGCATGGCTGTGGGCTGGGGGGATGCAGGGACGTCCCAGCTCAGCTGGCGCCACTCAGACTGAGTGTTCCGTCCACACTCATCCCTGTTTCCTTGGGACGGGGGTGCATTTGGGCTTCGGTCCACTTGTTTGTCCTATTCAGCCGAAGACGGGACATTTATTTTTATTTATTATCCTCTTGCTATAACATTATTTTTATTAATATTTTTCTGTCACACTCCACCTGCCCCAGAGCACAGCAGCCCCACTACCTGAGTGCTTCCTAGAGGTACTTCCTCTGGGCACTGTTCCCCAGATCCTCAAAGGGTTGGAATATGCATGCAGCACCCAACACAGGATCTGTCCCCCAAAACTATATTTTGTCACCACAACAGGGATATGCACGAGCTGGGACACCTCAGCCATTGACCCTGGTCATCCTTGCTTTTGGCAGGATGTGGTGTGGCCTGGGTGTTAGACGGGGGTGGGTTTTTTTATTTTGGGGTGTGGGGGGATGTGCTGATGGCTGGGTGCAGGTGCTCTCAGAACTGGTGCCAGGGTGAGGTTGGTTGGGTGCTCACAGAGTGAAGAGCCCCTTCTGGGGCTCTCTGGGCCCCCTGCTCACCCCACCACCCCTCCTTGCTGCCCTGCACCCCATTTTCTCCCTCCAGGTCTGGTTCAAGAACCGCCGTGCCAAGTGCCGGCAGCAGCAGCAGAGCGGCGGCGGGGCCAAGAGCCGCCCGGCCAAGAAGAAATCCTCGCCAGCTCGGGAGAGCTCGGGCTCCGAGAGCAGTGGGCAGTTCACGCCGCCAGCAGCGGCCTCCAGCTCGGCCTCCTCTTCCTCCTCCAGCTCGGCCTCCTCAGCCCCGGTGGGCGCCCCGGCATCTCTCAGCACCCCGGCGTCGTCCATCTGGAGCCCGGCTTCCATCTCCCCCGGCGCGGCGCCGGCGGGGGTGACGGTGCCTGAGCCTCTGCCTCCGGCCGCCGCGTCCTGCATGCAGCGGGCCGGCCCCGCCGCCACCGCCGCCTCCGCCAGCTACCCCGTGTCCTACAGCCAAGGCGGGGGGTACGGACAGGGGTACCCCGCGCCGCCCTCCTCGTCCTACTTCGGGGGCGTGGATTGCAGCTCCTACCTGGCGCCCATGCACTCCCACCACCACCCCCACCAGCTCAGCCCCATGGGGCCCTCCTCGGTGCCAGGCCACCACCACCACCACCACCCGCTGAGCCAGAGCTCGGGCCACCACCACCACCATCACCACCACCACCAGGGTTACGGCGGCACGGGGCTGCCCTTCAACTCCTCCGACTGCCTGGACTACAAGGAGCCCGCTGCTGCCGCTGCTGCCTCCTGGAAGCTCAACTTTAACTCCCCCGACTGCCTCGACTACAAGGACCAGGCGTCCTGGCGCTTCCAGGTCTTGTGAGGGGCCGATCACCATCCCCCCAAGCTGCCACTGACCCCCCACCTGGGGTCCCCCCACCGCCTCCTGGGCAGGACTCTGGCTCTTCCTCCTCCTCCCTCTTTGTTAGCAGTGGCGATGCCCTGGGGAGGTCCTGCCACCCCCATCTCTACTGACTGATATTTATTTTGCTTCCTGCACCGCTCCACCAGGTTTATTATAATTATTATTTTTTTAAACGCAACAGAAGAGGAGTTTAAAAAAAAATAAATTAAAAAAGCCTAGCGTCTCCCCTGCTGCCCCCCGGGCAGAGGCGCAGGCTGGCTCCTGCCCTGCCGGTGCCCCCCCACCCCCAGCTTTGTGCGGGGACCCTCAGCCCCTCCGAGCACGGAAGCCCCGGTTTGCCGGTCCTGTACAGCCTCTTGCCGCGGGGAGCGGCGGGAACAATGTAAATACTAGGTCCGTTCCAGTGACCACGATTATTTTTAGTTGATGCTGTTGGGTTGGCATTTATCTAGAGTCTAACGTGGAACAGAACGTAAAAAAAAAACAAACAAAAAAATAATCTTTTTTAAATTTTAATTTTCTTCCCTAAAAATGAATCTTTCCCAGTCTCATGTCCTCCGTCCATCCTCGAGGGCTCTGCACAAGCTTGGCTGTGCCGTCCCGGGGCTGGGGGCAGGGGTGTGCAGCAGCCGTGGGGGACGCCCAGAGGGGGAGGCAAAGGGGGAGGGAAAGGCTGCCCAGCTGATCCGCAACCTGCAAACCAAAAAAACCCAAAACTTTTGGAAAAAAAAAATAAAAAGGCAAGAAAAAAGCCGTAAAAAAAGTTTTGGTTTATTTTTTGGGGGGAGGGTTGCAGGGGCAAGCAGCTCTGCTTTGGGGCTGGGGGAGGGGCACACGGCTTTTCGGGGTGTGTTTTTTGATTTGGTTTTCGTTCTGGTTTTCTTGAGCCCCTTCTGTCGGTCGGTGCGTGGTGGCAGGTCGGTGCCGCAGCCCCGCGTTGCCCGCCTGCCTCGCCCGCCTGGGCTGGGGCTTTCCGGCAGCTTTGCCCCGCAGGGAGGAGAGGGACCGTGTAAGCGTGATTTTTGATGCCGTAACCCCATGCTTACCCCTTCGACTGTAAGGGACCCCTTTCTTTCTTCGCCCCAACCCCAATAAAATCTAAACTAATAAACGCAGTGGTGTGTCCTGTGCTCCTTCCTCCCTCCCGCCTCCTCTTCCTCGTGAAACTTCCCTGGGAAGAGTGAGGTGCTGGGAAAGAGTTCCTCTGGGGTCCCAGCAGGAGGGGGATGTGTGTGATGAGTTTGTGAGTGCTCTGGAGGGGGACCCACCGCCACTTCTGCAGGTGTGGGCTGGGGACCCACTCCTTCGTTAATTGACGCTTAATTGGTTACTGATTTATTGCTGCGCCGCGGTGTCGATGGGGCTCACGGGATGGGCAAACACTGGCCGAAACAGCAATCCCCCCGCAGCTGGTGGGGCAGTCCCCCAAACTCGGGACCCACGGGCACGCCTGAGTGGTGGTGGTGGGGTGCGAGGGCCACTCGGACACCCAGCCCCGCAGCCAGACCTCTGCCCGCTGTGCGGGGAGGGGTGTTCGGCATTCATGCTTCCAGCCCTGGCTCCCGGCCGTTCCATCCTCACCCGCTGCCGGCTGGGAAGACAGGGGGATGAATTATTGCTCGTGACAATCCCCCCTACCCCTTTTTTTTTTATTCTCCTTTCCCCAGACCTTCCCTGCAGTTGTTGGAAGCTGTCAGCTGGTGCCGGGGCTGTTCCTACCCGCAAACGACTAGAGCCGAGGGCACCAGCGGGGCCACTGCTCCCCTGCTTGGGTCACTGATACACTGCTCGGGGAGCACTCCCAAATTCCCATGCTTCTCCCTGTGCTCTCGCATTAGTGCCCGCTGCGTCTGGACGCTCGTGGGCTGTGCCGTGTGTTCCTATCCTTGGTGTTCCCAGGAACTCCTGGAGCAGTGGAGACCGTGGTGGGGTGAGAGGTGTTAAGGCATTGGTGTTCTCCGTGCGGCCACTTTGGGGAGGGTTTCACACACTCCCTCTCGTCCCAACTCCCCCCGCCCCAGGGTCGTGGTGGATGCGAACGGGGCTGGCAGTGCTGCTGCTGCTGCGGTGGGAAAACCAACGGGGGTCAGCCCCAGGTGCCACCCGTGCATCCTTCCAGGGTCGTGGCCATGGCATAGCCCCGAGGCGAGGGGTGGCCTCCCGCACCCCACGGTGCAATGGGAAGCGATGGGAGGGGACGAGTGCAGCTGAGTCAGTCTTAGGGGATTTTTCTTTAAGTGGTTCTTTTCCTTGTTGTCCCCTTCTGTGCATATATATAGATAACATATGTTCGAGTATTTATTTTTTTAAATGTATCTTCACCTCTAAAATAATTGTTCTTTTCTGCAAGCACAGGTCAGACACTCATCACAGTGAAATGTGGCTGTACAAGCAGTTTAAGGGAGGGCCATGTGTGCTGGGTCCCGTGCAGCAGCCCATGCATCCCCAAGCCCTTCTTTTAAAGATGCAAAAATTAACACAGCCCTCCTGGGTCTGAAAAAAAAAAAAAATCTGTGCTGGGCACGAAACGAGTCAGAGTTGCCCTCCCAGATTTAAGGAGCACCTGAGAGACAAGAGTCAGTAGGTGTATAACTCACACTCCCCCAAATACACACTTTTCATCTTCTTTAGACAAAAATTGTGCACACTTCTTCATCCTTATAAACTGTGTTCCATTATAACTCAGTAAATCAGTGAGGCTGAGACAGAGCCAAGAGGGGAGCCTGAATTTTGGTTTTGGTGATGTAGTCCTAAAACTCTTCATCCAGTGCCCCACAGTGGGTCTGGGCAAAGGGTCTGTTTTGGGGTTTGGGAGTCCAAGGGATGCTGGTGTTCTCCCCCAGCAGCGCCTTGTGCCACTGGCCAATGGCTTGTCCCGCAACTCCCACACCGGAATTTGGGCATTTTCCCTCTCACACAGATTCAGAGCACGGTGTCGAAACTGGTTGCTGAGCCCAGCTGGCAGTGGAGGCACAGAGGTGAGCTGGTCCAGATCATATCAAATCATGGCTTTGCCTTCAATGCTTGGCTTCACTTTTTTCAAATTTCTTTTTCAGTCTGTGCCAGCAGGGTGGGCAAGACATGACTTGTGCCTGTTGGTGGGCGAGCGTGGGCTGGGAAGGGTCATATCCGGGTTCGGGGGGGCCCCGGCGCCCTCCCTGTTTTGCCAGCTTAAGCAGCGGAGCAAACTTCTCCCGGTGTGGGCTTCCTCGAGGCTTGAGCAGGCACAGCCACCCCGAGCATGAGTCATGGCAGGTAAGGTGGCACAGTGCCGTGGCACTCGCTGCCTGGTGCCCGGCTCCAGGGGCAGGCGCCGGCAGGATTGCCAAGCTTTTTAGGGCAACCCCGTTCTGAGACAGCTGCCGGGGTGGCTCGTGCCTCACCTCTCAAGCAAGAAGGCTGTTGGGTGCATGGCTACTGTTTTATTATTTTATTTTATTTTTTTTATTAAAAAAGCATTTGCTGCTGGAGCACGGAGCTGCCAGTGGCCCAGGGGTGCAGCCACAGCGCCGAGACGCGCCGGTTACCCGGCACAGGCTGTGAAGCTCCCGCCTCTTCCCCGAGTGCCGGCAGCTGCCTGGGCTACCGAGAGCCTGCTCCAAAGGCACGTGGGGCTTTCCGGCCTGTAAGTGGAGGGCCAGGATTTGGGGTGAGGGGGGAGAGGGACAGAGGGGAGAACATTCCCCAGCTTGGGCTGTCGTTAGCTGTTATGCCTGGTGGGATAATTGATGACCTATTTGCTGTTATCAGAGTATTTGCTCCGAGTTGAGTCCCTGCTCGGGAAGCTTTGCTGTTAAACCCCCCACGTGTGGCAGGGAGCTGTGACAGGTGCTGGTGTGAACACCCTTAGCGGTACCAGGCTGTGCAGAGGTGGGCAGAGGCTGGCCAGGGTTGCTTCTGGCTGGGGTGACCAACTCCTCTTTATTGTGCAGGATGTGCTTCAGGAACGCAAATTGTTATGGCTGAGCAAGAATTAAATTATTAAAAAATTATATCTATAAATTGTGTGGCAAGTTTCAGAAGTCGTACCCACTAACATGACTTACTACAGCTATTTTGTAGACAGCCCTTCTGGCAGAGCACAGAGAAAACAGGTGATTACAGCTGAATAAGGAACCATCCGTTTGTGGTTTTCCCTGTGCTGACCTCTGTGTTAGCCAGTTGCTGCTAATTCATGCACTTTGAGTAGCAACTAATGCACATAAAATCCCATGCTGGTTCCAAACCTGTTTTGATTTAGTCAAAAAAGGTCTGCAGATATACCTCCCAGCTGAGGAAGCTGCTGTACTGGAGAGCTCTTCTTTCGTGTCGTACAGTGGAGCACAGAATACTGTGGGGAAGGAGGAGGGTGAAAATGGTCACAGGGCTGAAGCCGAAATGAAAACATACACCTATTTCCAGTTAAATCCCTATTCAACACTTCTTTTTTTTCCAGGACATACAGGACTTTTCCAAGAAAGCCATGAGAGGATTTCTTTTTTTTAACTGAAAACCTGCAATTTTAGGAAACAGCATTCTGGACCTTATGTACATTTCTAGTATCACTTCCTCTATATTTTTAAGCTGAAATCCTCTTAGCATGCAAAGTAAATAGATTATGATATACTGAAGGATTAAGAATCACTGTCTGGTGTCAGATTAATCCCTCATATAGACCATCACTTGTACTGACAGAAATATGGCTGCAATTCAGCAAAATAGCTGTATGGCAAGGTAATGTGTCGTAGCCTCTTACGCAGAACAAGCCCTCCGTCATCGTGGTCCATCGCTGTGCTGTGTGTCCTTCAGAAATTAAATTTATGGGACATTAAAGGCATCTTCTTTTACAATGGCCATTGCCATTATGGCTCTGTCTGGGGAGGTGATGCAGCAGCCTGCTCTGTTTCAAAGCTCTCCTTATTTATTTTTCCCTGTTAGGTGTACAGAATCCTATGGATTGCAGCCCCTTTGCTCCCTTCAAACTACAAACCAAAATGTCTTTGAATCCTTTGAATACACTCATGGAAAGGTGCTGACTGGGATGAAGTGCTAAAATGGTGCAACCAAAATCACCCATCAGGCAGCAGAATTTTGACCCATGGGGGGAAATGGCTGGTGACAGCAAGCCCAAGTATTTTATTTGGGTAAATACAGACTTTTGGTTAATAAAATACTTCTAATGGCTTGTGGATTTCTTTTTTTTTTTCACATTTTACTTTTATTTTCAGTCCATCATACAGATTTGCTCACCATATAAAACCAATTTGAAGAAGCTCACTGGCTCTAGGTTGCAACCACCCAATGCTCCCCAAAAAGCTCAGTCTTAATCCACACGTGCCTATGGCTGAGCACAAAAAATCTGTGTCCGTATACTCTGCGCTTGATCAAATGGTGGGAAGACAGACCCACGATGATGCTCGTCCCTCTCTTCACTGCCAGGAAAAAATAGAGGGCTGGAACAGGTTACGTTACCTTCTCAGTGCATTTTTTCTTTGTGGTTAGAGGAGGCAGATTAAAATCTGGACTCCAATGGAATGATGTTTAAGAGGCTCCGCATCTTTTTTTCAAGGCAAAATAATGGTTATTCAACTAAGATGATATATCTAGATATGAAAATGGAGAGCATTCTTTGAAAAATACTGCCAACTGTGAAAGGCTGCTCTTTCACAGAGGTATCCTGAGTGAAGATCTTATCTGCTGGTATCTCAATAGGACGGTTTTCAGAGCCTTAAGTGGAAATTCAAATCTGCTTCCAAGTGAAGATTGTAAAAACATATAATGCATAGAGAATTACAGACTTCCTCCTGAAAAGCTTATGGATTCATCCAAGAAAGGCCCCCAAAAATTTTTCAGCATTGAGTTTGTACAGTAAATGGGTATCTGCAATTACTCCCTTTTTTGATGTCTTTAAATGACATGATGAAAACGTCACCAAGTTGCCCTCCACAAGCACACATAAGGCACTTTGTGCGTGGACACATTCATGTGAACTTAGAAATAATTTGGAAGTCTAAGGGCAGGATATTTTCTAAGCCTGTTGTCTTGTCATCTGCTAGGGGTCAGATCCAGGGCTGGCTGGAAGTTTGCTGAAGGGCTTCCCGTGAACTTCACCACCTCGGTGAGGTTTCCTCTTCTTTGCTGTGGGAGCTCAATCACACCAGACCAAAGTGCACAATTTGGAGAGACCCGCTGTCTCTAGTCTCCTGTGGGGGAAATACAGGAAGGATTAGGCAGGCTGCAGGGACAGGCAGTGAGGGACAGAAACACAGATATTGGAAATACCATCCCAATCCTGGGAGATGAGACAATTGCAGACACTGTCCCATTTTAGCCTGGGAATAAAGGATGCAGCCCTAAGTGGTGGAGCTTGCCTTGTGGTTCAAGGTAAGGCACCTCTCACATTTTTTTAAGCCTACCTTCACAACCCCCCACCCCTGCTGTTCCTGGAAAAAACAGGCACTGCAGCTCCAGCAACTGCTCACTGGTGTCCCCTGGGATGTGAGAGGCTGGGAGCTGAGGCTCCACCTGCCTTTGAGACCCCTTACCTGGTGCCTGGAAGCTTATTGGTGAAAGTGAAACTTTAGATTTTTGTTACCTTTTAATTAAAATATACTGCAAACAGCATAAGGCTGGGCTAATGCCAGTGGGTAGCCAGCCAGGTTTCCTAAGTTATGTGGGGATGGCATTTTGCATTCCACATACAATGCAAATATGTGATTTAAGCACAAAGCCCTATCCTGCACTCAGGGTGGAAACTCCAGCCCTCTGGTTTTGCAAAGGACACGACGATGGGGAGAACGTGTGCCACAAATAGAGGTTATTTCATAACACAGGCTAGCGTGCCTGCGAAATGCATGAAATACTTTGCCTTGGAAAGCGATGTAGTCTAGTGAGTCATTGCTTTCTTTTGAATTACAGATGAGTAGCCAGCCCTTCATGATGCAAAGAAGAAAACTAGGTGTGGAGCTGGAAACAAAGGGAAACGTGTGTTTGTCCTGTCTCGGAGGGCAAAACACACCAGTTGGCGTGGGAAGAGTGGGTGGGCTTGGCCCCAGGAGGTGGCTTTCAGAGCTGTGTCAGGCTGCACAGGTGAGGGCAGACAGGATTCATGTGAGTGATTCCCTGGCTCCTTGACTCCAGGAAAGATGAAAAAAAAAAAAATTCACTTAACTCTTGAAGCTTCATAAGGAACCTTTACCAGAGCAGCAGCTCCATCTCATGGCATGTGCATTTCACCACAGAGATAGAGATCTCCCTCCGAAACAGCATTCCCTGGCACAACCTCCCTACCTCAGCATGGAGGGAGCAGTAAAAGTGCAATGGCTCCAAATAAGCACTGTATGAAGCACTCCAGCCCATTGCTTGGCTCTTCCCTTGCAGGGAGATGGTGAGACGTGGCCTGGCAACAATACAACCCCTTGTTAATTCTCAGAGGTAATTTGAAGATGACAAGAAAGTGTCCCCAGTGTCTCATCTGAATCAGTGCTTGCATCCCAGACCCCACCAGGTTATTCCAGTGTGGAAACTTGAAGCACTGCTTCACCACTGAGACTTCTTAGCTCTCTTCAAGGAGGTTGTGAGGTGCCTTACTTGGTAGCTGTCTTCCTCCCCCCAGTCCTGGGGTTGTGTGTATGTGCCTTGGGTTTTGGGTGGCTTCAAGCTTTCTGTGGGCTCTCCTTGCTCTCTGAATGACACATGTTGGAGGCTTAAAAAAACCCCATGGTTTATTTTTTTTCTTTTTATTCAGTAAAGCCCTGAGGAACATCAGTGATTGAACGTGAGGAAGGGGTGGCTCTTTTGCCCCTAGAGCTGTGTCAGGGCCTGATGCAGAGAGGTTTCTGCTGGTGGTTCCATTGGGCACCAACAGAATAGGTGGGAAGGTGAATCTGGGCTAGGAAAAAACCCCACATCATGTTTGATCATATAGAGTTCAAGGCTGTTTGGGTAGGTCACTGCAGTTCAAGGCTCAGGGTCCTGAGTGCATCAGGCTCTCAGATAATGGACCTGGGGTTTGTGATTTGTGCCTCTGTCTGGGGAGAGCTGAACATGAAATGAGCTCTGCAGACCTACCTACTTGCTTTTTAAAAAAAATACTTTTCAAAAAAATCCTATTTGCAAACCTCTCTGGTCACACGAAAGAAGACTTGATGGTGTCGTGTGGGAAGTCTGTGATGTGGCATCAAGCTTGTAGAGGTATTTAATGTTAATCAAAGGCTGAAGAGCAGTAATGACTGGAAGCCTCTTCTGATATCTGCATCTCTTCTGATGCAGCACCCCGGCAATAAAAGACACCGTAATAATTTGGTGAGAGTTGATTTTCATAGTGCAGGAAGATGGGTGTCCAGGAGCAGGGGAAGCCAGCACTGCTGTGCTGCTCCCTATGGTGATGAGCCGCTAGTCATCTAGAGAAGGAAAACATGAATATCCTGACAGGAGAGCATCTACTTGTGCCCTGGAGAGTTCAGATCGCGGGGCTTTGCATGGTAATGATGTGGTCCCGCTCCAGCAGGCGAAGGGAGGAGTGGTAGGGGAAGGCACACCCTGTAATTGAAAAGCCACTAAGTCATCTCAGACCTGCAGGGATAGCAGGATGGAGGCTGTGGTTTGCTCTGTCTCCACAGGTCTGAGGCAGAATGGAGGATCCTTTTACTCTTCTGTAGTGGGAAATACAGAGAAATCTCTTCCCCGCGCTGCTGTATGGCTCCCAGGAGGCTGCGCTTTTCCTCCCGGGGATTATTCGCAAGGGCACGATGAAAGTGGGAAAGGACAAGAGTGGGAAAGAGAGGAATAATTGAAGGAACCACGGGGAATTATTTTAAACACCTGTTCTTTTCAGATGAAGATTGCCCGATTCCAGGCTGCGGGAATGACGGTGTGGAAGGATATGCCTGATGCTAGGACCCATAGGTACTACTTTTCACTGGAAATGCCTTGTTTCCCTCGAATAGCATCACATAAAACCATTCTGGCTGACAGATATTCATCTGAGTGGTAACATATTAAAACAACCATTTGGTAGTCATAAGGCACCATTGACTTCAGCATCTTAAATTATCATATATAAGATCAGTCTCTGGTCCAGAAACAAGAGAGTAGTTGAGATAAATGTTTTCCAAAGGCTCTTGTTTTTACCAAGGCAGGTGACTAGGGTGTTTGGAGCCTTGGTTTTGCTTACGTAAGTCTAGGTGCTGCTAAATGGAGACTCTTTGAACTAGCCTACACAGCTTGCTCAAGATGATCAAATCCCAGAATAACACAGATGAGGAGGGGCCTTTATTATCAGCCTGCTCAGAGCAGCAAGACTAGGCTGGGTCTCAAGCAGGATGGTCCTCCAGGCTACCCTAATCTCATCTCCAGCCTTTCCTGGAAGACAGGGCTGAACAAATCCTGAGCACTCCAAATATTGTGGATGAGATGCACACTTCTCATTTGCTTCGAGCCCTGAGGAGCTGTACCCAAGCAAGCCATGCTCAGGGCAAGAAAAGCTCCAGCTTATCCTCACTCCTCTGGCATCTACCTATGCTGACCCCACTTTCGTCCTCAGTGCTGGGATCCTCTGGCCAGTGCCGGTCCCAAACCAGCGTGGCAAAGGTGGTTTGCATTCATCCTACCTGTGATCTGAGACCACCACAGCAGCCCTCACCCATCATCACCCTCACACCCAGGGGCTGCAGGCAGGACACATGTCACCTGTGCTCGTGCAAAGCCACTGGCACTGCTGGAGGGACACAGGTGGCCCCCGTGGCAACAGGGTCTTGCCTCTGAGCCACTTCTCTCATGCTGTAGGGCTAATGCTTTCCTCCAGAAACAAATCTTGTTCAACAGCTTGAGCACTGCTTGGCTGTGTGACAGCCAGCTGCTCTGGCAGGTCACTGGGAACAGTTTGTTGCACGATCCTTAGAGTTTCAGGGAGGAGAAGCTTCCTCATAGCTGAGAGAGCAGCGAGTGAGGAAGACACGTGCTATGGTGCCCCTACAAAGGATAGGGCCCATATCAGATACATCCCCACTGAGGCCTCTGTGGCCATTTGCACTGGCAATAGGTCACTTCTGGCCCCAGAATTTCACCAACAAACTGGCAAAGGAGGGCAAAGCAAATCCTCCGTCTTGCAGCTGCAGGGATCTTCCTGCAGAGTTGCCTGTGCAAGAAGGGCCGGGTTTTGGGTGTGCTCCCCTTGGGTGGCACCAAGCCCAGTATTGTGTGAGCTCCCTCTGAAGCAACATGAGGGAAGTGGTGGCAGGGGGATGCCAGCCCAGGGAAGCAGGAGGGTGAAAGTGGGACCTCGGGAACAGGCTGTCCACCAATGTGCTGATGGAGCAGGCTGGTGATGGTGTCCAGGTGAAGGGCTGCTGCCTTCCCTTGGTCCAGAGAAGCTCAGATGGAAGTGCCCCATTTCCCCACGCACAAGCAGCTCTGCGATGTGTGCTGAAATCAAGCCAATTCCACCCAGGTCACAGAGGTCACACTTTGACCACACCAGCTCTTAGTACTGGTGACCACTCAACTGCAGTAACTTTTTGGAACCAAAGAGTGCTTTAACCACTCCCTTGGATAAGTCCTTAATGATGTGATGGCAAAGCTTTCTTCCGTGTATCACTCTTGTTATACAGCCTGTACATTTGGGCTCGTGGATTTTATTGTCAGAGTCCAGAGCTTTCAAATTAACTTCTCAGTTTATTAATTCAGCTCCTGACATGAAATCAAGTAGCATCTTCCACACAGCTCGGGGAAGGAGCAGTTAACTGCTGGCTAACCCGGCTGCAAATCCAGGGATCCCACCAATGCCTCCAGACCATCACTGCTGCTTTATTTCACTGTACTCTGTATCCTGAGGCCACCAAAATCACCCAAAGGCCAACAGGGACATGCTTTGAGTATGAGGATTTCCCATTGGTGTGACTCTAATGTGGTGAGCTCTGGCAACTGGTCCCCAGCCTTTCCCCATCCTCCACCCAGTGAAAATGTGCAAGGGCCCGCAGGAGGCTGCAGAGGTGGGGCCGGTGTGTGTTCTTCTTCAGTGCTCCAGGACTGGTAGAACAGCTCTTGGAACACAATTTTACTTGGCACAGGCTGGTTTTGTAATGAAAGAAATAAATAAGTGCCATCCTGCTCTGCTGGGAGGTTGAAGTGTTTCCTTTCCTTTTTTTTTTTTTTTAATGATCTGTTTGCACTGAGGCCAAACACTGAACACTTTGGCATCAAAAATAGAAGTTTAAACAAGAACTGTAACTAGGAGGAAGCTAAAACACAAGCACTCTTGTGCCTCCATCCACGGTGTCGTGAAATTTGTTTTATTATTTATTATATTTTATTTCATAATTTTATTTTTTCCCTTAAAGTAGAACTGAAGGAGTGTGTTGGTGCTGCCAATTCATCAGCTCTGGAGATAGGCTCTCTATATATGTGCTCTATATGCACTCCCACCAACACCCAACCTCCTGGGATACCAAACCAGGCCAGAGGGGAATGTTCCCACAGGAGATAACTGTAACAGAAGGATCTGGGGAACAGGGTACGGTCTCCCTGCCCACATGGAGGTCTCCTCCTCTCCTGCCCCATCAGGCTTCTTGTAGGCTGCAAGGATGTGAGCCAGTGCAGGAGAGGGAGGAGGACAACAGGACTGGAGGCTGGCAGTGGGGGAAGGGATGGACCACCTTTTTTGGCAGCACCTTGCAGTTTAATCAGTTCAAAGTTATCATGAAACCATAGGGCAGTATTTCACTCCTCTTTACTGAGGTCTTGAAAGTGCCAATACGAGCACCGGCTACTTCATGTAAGATAAACATGGATGGAGGGCAAGACTTTTATGCTCTGTGCTCAATACAAAGCAGCAGGTGAAGCCCTGCTCTAGCAGAGCAGTATAGGAGCATTTCTACCAATTTCAGTGAGAGCCCTGCAGGCAGATAGCTTGCAGGGACAGGCTTGGGGAGTTTCAGGAAGCTTCAAAATAGAGTAAATAATAACAAGCAGAAATAAAAAAAGTAAATCAGAAATGGGTCACCTGCTCCGAAGGAATGGCTCTCATATTTCCTTGAAAAAAAAACCCAAGAAAACACAGTGTTATTTACATTCCACTTCACTCACTGAAAAACCGAAACAAACAAAGGTATGATATTAAGTAACTTTCACTTTTCAATAAAACAAAGCTATTTTATATCATGTTATTCAATGGATGAATTAAAATATTTAATATATTCCTTATACTAGTCTATACATGTAGGATACGTATATTCCCTCAAACACTACAACAAGTTAAAGCAACCATGATTTCTGTGGATAAGGCAGTGTGGAGATGCAAGGCAAGCAGTGGATTGGGGATCCCACATCGTCCCAGCTTGGTGGAGAGCTGTTGCAGGACTGGGATGCACACCCTGGGACAGTCCTGGCTGCAGCACACCTGTCTGCCTGTACTGGGGTAGCTCTGGGGTGGTGGGGCATGGGCTGCCTGCCTGCCTGAGTGCTCGCCTTCTGTCTCGGGAGGGATTTTCAGTCTGTGTGCCGCCAGGTTGCTGCAGGAGGTGCTTGAGGATGAGGCTTCATGTTACAGCTTGAGCCGAATTAAGAGCTGCCAACATCAAAAAGAAGTCCTGCTGCAGGCAATGTCCTTCTCCCCTTCGCTTGGTGCTGTCTGTGGTGTCTTCTAATCCCCACGTGAGGCAGTTCAGCTCATGGGGTGGACAAAAGCCCACGGGAAAGAAAACAAGCAATTTTTTGGGTTGGGTTACTATGCTGTCAGCTCCCATGGATGCGGGTGGAAGAAGGTGGTGAGGGGGCAGCAGGACCTTCCCATTTCGATGGTGGCAAGCTGCTGGTTCAGCTTCACTGTAAGGTGGAAGTGCACCCATAACTGGCTCGTTTGAAGTGACCTGTTTCAGCTGTGGCTCTGGAACTGCAGTTACGCCTCGACTGACCCTGCCAGCATGCCTGGAGACTGGCTCTGTTCCTACACACCTGCCAGCAGAGTGATGGGACACCCGGACAAGGCAGAAGATAAAAGTCCTCGTCTCACCCCTTGTGCAAACACTCTCACCTATCCCTGCATGGCTGACTTCACAGGACAACTCTTTAACCGTGACTTTCTCATGCTGGGCTGCTCCTCTACTACACTGCTGCACTACCTTGACACTGCTACGATGGAGACACCAGGCGCTGCTGAAGCAAGGCAGCCACCTTCCCTTACTCCAGAAGCCCTGCAGGAGCAGTGCATGCTGCTGCTTCACAAGCCATGCAAGCAGTGAGGCTCTGCTGCTGCTATTGCACACCCAGTAACAGAGCAACAATGGCTGAAGGTAATAAACCCTGCCTGTTTTTGTTAAACCATGAATAACTGCCGCAAGATAAGGAGATTCATATGATCTGTTGAACTTATTCTACCTTCCATGAGCTGGTAGCTGAGTCCTCATGCCTCTGCCTGTTAGGAACACACAAACCAAGCTCATGCTGCAATGCTGCTTGACTTATTTTTATTCCGAGATCCAAATAAATTTTCAAGATATTAATCACCATTATTTTTAGCTTCATACCCTTGTGCGTATTTGAAAGAGACCTGTTCACTTACCTTCCTGGCTGCTGGGAAAGGGTTTTGTGATCAGGGAGGTGGTGTGGCCACCCGCTCCAGGCTCAGTGTCCTCTGCCTGTCTGCAACTTGTGGGTCTTTGAAAACAAAACAGAAGTGATAGAAGGGGAGGGAGCAATGACTGCAGAGTTGGGGAGATACTGCATAGCAGAGCAAAGCTGTTTTGTTTGTTTTCTATCTTTTCAAGTATACAGCAGCCTGTGTAATTTCCTGGCTACAAACTGTAGCCCTTTCTATCAGATGCCAGTAGGTTTGTTGACTGAGCATCACTACGATCACTCATTTGGCCGTGCAGTCACTCCAGCACTGTCCTGTCATTCAGAGAAGAGGTGTAAAGCTGGTGTTTTTTGGAGCAATTACAGTTTTGTTAAGCAAGACGGGCTAGGGATGTGCACTGCACATAGCAGGCACCAGGCACTGTTGGCAGCCCAGCCTGGAGGAAGTTGGGTGAATGCCAGGATGGGAGTATGTCAGACCAAAAAGGCAGCACTGATTTTTCTGCAATTTTTACCGTTAAATCCTGTCCCCTCACCACTCCACCACTGAAATCCAAGTTGTGAAGAAGCAGCAGGGAAGAAAGCACCAACTACGTGTTATGGAAAACACAGATGGATTTTTTTTTTTGGTTTTGATAGTCTTGGTTTCTTCACTCATCATTAATCTGCTTACATAGGCATGTGGAAAGGCAATCCATTCCCAATGCAGTGTAACTGGAAATTTGGAGGCCATGTTGTGTCACCTTGGCTTGCTGGCTCGCTGCTTGTCCTGCCATACACAAACTGCCAAGTGCTCAGTGAAGTCCAAGGGAGCATTGCCTTCACCAAGAATGAGTCGAATAAAGAAAATAAACTAAACATCCAATGCCAGGCCATCTGGGAACTCCTTTGGGAGGATTCTCCTCATTTGGGTGGTTTTTCCTCCTCTCTGGATGTAGTCATGTTTGACTCAAGTAGTGTTTTACCCAAGGGTGACTTTCAGATATGACAGCAGTGTAGGTGTGAGAATAAAAATGTGAATGCTTCTGTGCAGCACCCACTTTCTTAACTGCCACAGTGTGAAATCTGGCTCAGCTTTGATAATACAAATAATACATTCCAGGCATAAAAAGCCCTTTATTACTGATGAGGACATAAATAATTAAAAGAAAAGCTCAGATTTTCCCCATGCCTCTGTTTTCACACTACCAGTTGGGCATCAGCTATGAGAGCAGCTGGGCATATGTAAAGCAACTAAAAGCAACACTCCTCATCAGCTTTCTCGAGACATTTTTAAGCTGCAGTAATGCAACTCTCCCATCACACTAAGCTTTATTGGTTCAGTAAAAGAAACTAAGAAACTTCATTGGAGACCAGATTATGCTGCTTGCCAAAGCAGGGGGATTCTTCTGCTCTTCGACCCCATTATCTCCTCCGTAGTGTCTTGATCAGCTTTCTCACACATGGCCTCGGATTCTGCCGAGACCCACAAATTGCTTTTTTGCCTGCCAAATTGCCATAACCTTTCTATTTTTATATTTTAAAAGAGCTTAAACCCCTCCATCCTCTTTGGATGTGTCTTTAAAACTGACCAGTACTGGGAGGATTTCATGTATATCCGAAGGCTTAGAAGAAGATGTTACCTCTACCGAGCTTCTAGTTTTACAGTCAACAGACATGAAAAGCCCAGCGGGGATAAAAGGAACTTAACCAGTTCTGTCTAATGCATATAAATCTACCTAAGAGCTCAAGGCACTAGAAGTACTCAATGCACTACATTTATCTGAGTCTAAGATAGACAAATGGGTCTTCAGCTCACATGCCACATGTCCCATTTTGATGCCAAGTTAATATGAATTAATAGACTGAGATGAATAAACAAGGTCAGTCTGGGCTGGGCCAAGTTGAATCAATGTAAAGTAATTGTCAGTATTTTCTGTCAGCAACACTGGTTTATCTTGGCTCGGGATTCTCGGTGCTATAGATTATAAAATGTTTTCAGTGGAACAGTTGGCAGACATTTTATTGATTTTTCTTTGTTTTGTGAATGCTGGAAAAATTTCCATTAAGTATACACGCCGTTCATGTGATGAAGCCAAATTGCTTTTTCAAACTTTTCTTTCTTCAAGTGTGCTAATGCGTTAATACATTAGCAATCTAATTTAATAAAGAGGACCTTTGTCTGGAATCAAGAGGCCCTAGAGAACACCTCGATGCATCTCGAGCACTTGTGGGCTAAGAAGAGTTAATTTTGTACTTTCGAGGTGCTGTACGCACACTGACTAATTAATTTGCCCCTTTGAATTTGGTAATATATTATCTCAGTTTTACAGATGTAGAAACTGAGAATGCAACTTCACACAAAGCCATATATATCTGCCTGCTGTTGTGTTCTCGATGACATGAAGCTCCCGGGCTGAGCAGTGGCAGGGAATGAGAAGGAAGGCTGCAGCAACTGGGCAGGAATAGCACTGCTGAGCTGCTGAATCCCACTTCTGACACGGAATTGAAAATTGTCAGGGCAGATAGAGCAGCTTGTAGGATTACACCTGGACCTGGCAGACTGTATTTCTCAGCCTACATTCCTGATGTTTTAAGACCAGGTTTGCTTCGTGGTCAAAGGGGCTTTTGAAAAAGATAATTGATGGTGGAAGAACAAACAGAAATGCCGTTACTGTGATGAATGCTTATTTTAATTGCATGAAACACTGAAGTAAGAGTAAGAAATCCATTTAGTGTCATTTTTTATGGAACACACAAAAGGGGATGTTGTGGGATAACTCTAATTCTCTCTCTCCATGGTGATTTTATAGCCAACATATGCAGATATGAAAGATGCTCTTAACACTTCCTGAGGTTCTATCAGTGACGCTACAGATTCAAAATATAGACACATGCTTCTGAGCTTAAATAAAAACCTTATAGAGAAGTAGAAATATGTATATTTTTTAGTACATAAGCCACAAGGAAGTTTTATGACGAAAAGCACTGTGATGATATACACTTTTACCTTCTGTCCTAATCACTTGTATTAAAATAATAGATAGCCTAATTAAAATAATTCTGGTTTGGGGGATGGGGACAAAGTAGACGGATAATAAGCTAAAAAACCTTCCAACACATCTTCACACACATCCTGACACTGCCAACAACTGCAAGGTATTTAAACCCACAATGCCTTATGGTAAGGCAACAGAATGACACACTGCTGGGGTGGAAATCCACACTGCAGCTGCCAAGGCCAACAGCAAAGAAGTGAGTGCAGCCATAGCTCTGTGCTGACTCTTACGTGCCAAACTCTGGCATGGTCACAGGCACTCACTAGTTGACTCATCCAGAAACAAGCTGTCCCATGGGCAGTGGATCAGTTCCTTTTTGCTGCTGAAAGAATCAGCATGCTACCTTGGTCTTCTGAACAACAGCATACAAAATATTTTCCTCAATTGCAGGCTTTTGCTGCAGGGTTATGACGATCAAAATGTTTTCATAAATAGATAACAAGAATAATGGGAGGGCAAGAACTGCTGGGCTGTAGCATAGCTGACACTTGGAAGGAGAAAATGGCAGTGGCCAATGGCAAATATAAGACAGAGATAAGATCTTTGTCTTGTAAAATTATTCACTGGAGTGTGCATTGTTGGTGGTATTTAACTGTCCTGTTTATGTTAGAGTGAAAGAAATCACACAGCAAATGAAATGCTGCTCTCTGGAGTGTTGTCCTGGAATCTTTACTGCTCGTAACTTTGTATGTGTGTGTATGGTTCAAAAAGTTGACTACACCTCTCCACTAGCAGGAACAGTATTGCTACTTTCATAAAATACCATGGATTTAAATCAAGAACAAGTTCTCAAAGAAATAAACCCTTGAGATTGTTTTATGAAGGATTATTTTGTTTCCAGCCTTTTCCGTCCCTTTTCTGTCCCTGTGTCTATTCCAGACTACGGCTTTCCTGGTCAGGCCAAGGAGATGATGATGTGAAGAGTTAATGGAAGTGACTTTTTAATCATGCAGCCTGAAAACTGGGCTCCAGTTACACATATGTAGATGTCAGGCCCCCTGAAGGGCATCAATAACCAGGTTTATTAAGCAAGTGGAACATAAACGTCTTCTGCTAGTCTTCACAGGGCCCTTGCCCAGAACTTCTGCCTAGGTGTAACCTATTAGATATGCCCCAGCTCCCCCAAAACAAAGTTTCTGTCAAAGCTGATATGAAAGAAAGAAGTCTGAGTATGTGCTGGAGATGAGCTTCCAGGAACTTGACTGAAATGCAGATTTGGGACAGTATCTGGGTATGACAGGAGTGGTAGTGTTAGAAATGCAGTAATGTAGTAACTCCACAGGTTTGGTGTGACTAGGTGGTACAAAGGTGTAAAGCCAAGGCAGGTAACAAAAGATTCTGAGAGAAGAAAGAGCAGTGATTGAGTACTCTTGCTGAACAACTGCAAAGTCCTGTTATGATGTCTCATAGGACTTTGGGGAACCGCTGCTACCCAGAAGAAGACCTTTACAAAACCGTAAATCTCTAGTAATGCTGGAGTATCTTGGACATAGAGATGAAACACTGCAACAACTGCAGAACTGAGAACGGTCCTATTTATGCAGGCTCCTAACACTCAAAACTTCCTTTCTTCGTACAGATTTCTTCACATGAAGAAGTCCGATGCAGACCTGGCAGCAGACGCATTAAAGAAAACAAACTCTGTGAAACTGGAGGCAAACCAAGCCACAGTGCTTGTAACCATCTGCGGCTTTTCTTAAGCACAGGGAAGAAGTTGCTGGAGTCACCTCAGCAGATGACCTTCCCAGCCGGCTGGTGTTGTCACAGGGAGTGCCTTTAAAAGCTAAATTCATGTTGGCAGGCTTCAGGCAGCTGTGGCCAGCCAGGGGAACTGTGAGAAATTTTCTTCCACAGCTCTGCAAGCGGCCACCAAACACTCTGGCCTCTCCCAGGGGAGGTCAACTGCACCAACAGGTATCCACAAGCATGGTGGGAGCCTGCTATATCCTCTCCAACTTGGCAAGAGGCAACCAAAAGCCTTGGGAAATCCCAGCAGTTTGTGCAGCTCCGGCGATTGCCAGGAACCACTCATGAGGCTCAGCAACTTATGGTGACCCACCTGGGTAGGTGCAGGCCAACGTGGTCAAACCAGGGAGCCCAGGAGTGGGAGTAAAGTTGAACTCTGCAATCTCTCTCCCAAGATGCCTGACAAAGGCAGATGTGGGACTGCCAGAGACGTGTGAGTCATAGCAACCTCCGAAAGGGAAAAGGTGAGCTGAAGGGAGGATAGCATGTTTATAACTTGGGATCAGAGGCATGTTGGGATTAGTCTCTGCTCTAGTGTGCTGTTAAAAGAGTTCCTTTTGTTGGAGCACTTGGAAAGTCCTCCACAGTCAGTGTAGTCTCCATCATGGAGACTGTCTTTATTATTTGCCCATATCAATATGGTGCTATCTTCATCCCAAAAGTTAAGATGGAACAATTGTGCACTATATTTTTAAAGGCAGGTTCAATCTCCAAATACATGAGATAGCTCTGAAAGCTTTAGACGGCATCCTGTATCCTAAAAGTTGTAGGTTATGTGTAAAATAAATACTTCACTAGTGGTAAGCAGTTGGTAAAATGGGAATAACATTTAATACTGAAAAAGCTCCATCTCCCCATGCGTGTCCCCATGACAGAAGACTAGGTAACATACAGATTTCCAGAAAGAGAATGAAATGTGTGTTTTGCCCACATGAAGTGTGTTCAGCACAGTTATGTACAAATGGTTAGGATGAATTCAATGGGGAAGTTCAATGTTCTCACACTAGATTTACTAAAAACATTCCTATGTATAGTAGCATAGAAAATAAAAATTAGTCTATATACTACACATCTATATAATCATTGGGAAAAAAATAATTATTTTTTTTTTCTGTCAAGAATGCATGAAGAAAAATAAGAGAAATAAATGCTTTTTGAATCTTTGCAGAAGAGCTATTTCATTCTAATTTCTCATCCCTTGAAAGGGGGCGTGCAGGTTCACTAGCAACAAAAGCATTGGAAAAAAATCCCAGTCATCAGAACTGTTGTTTCTCTCGTAATAGGTAAGTTCAAGGTTTTAACCAACTTCTGAAGAAGAGCATTCTCAAAAGATCATCCCAGGGATTTTGGTCACAGGCTAGAGATATGCTTACAGAAATCTGTAAAGACCACGTCAGATTTTTTAAAGTTCTGTTTACCACCTGTAACTGTTAATTTGCTGCATTTCCATTGCTGTATTTCTCTTCACTCCACATTCAACAAGGAATCATTTGCCCAAATGATTTAATTTGAAAATGGTTGTGCTAGTGTGTGTTAAATGCTGTGTTTCTGGAGATTTCTTTGTGTCCATGCCACATCCCTCAGGCTTCCAGGTTTTTCTTAAGTTACTTCTTACTATCTCAATGTTTCATTTCATTTACAGTCATGGTGCTGACGACAAATGCACTTGTCAGGAAAGCTCAGGATATCAAACACACATTTCAAAACTATTTTAGTTAATTGTTTCCCTCCCCCCCCCTTCCATTTTCTGTTGTGGAAATGCAGGATTTTCCTTGGCCTTATGAAATATCTTTGATGTTTCCCATGTGCCGTTCCCTGCACCACTCACCTGTGGGAACAGCTCTGTGCTGGTGGTCTGGTGGCAGGGCCTGGAGCAGGTGGCTTGGACCCTCCTCCTGGCTCTGAAGATTGATCAAAAGCTTCACAAGATGGGTCTTCTTCATCTGACTGCCCCAGAAGTTCTGCTAAGGTGAACCAAGATATGGTGTCACACTTAAGTTAAAAGTACCAACCAAGTTGCCAACTGGTTGCCTTAGATGTCAATAAGGACAAGGGTGTCCTCTCTTGTAAAGGATCAAGTTGAATGGATAACCATATGCTTACACAGCTCTCACCTTGACTTTTCCCCTTGAAAAGGAGGCTGAGTAGCTAATTACCATCAACAATAACACATCCAAGAGTTTTAGAAAGGCAGGGAACGAGTGTGTATTGGCTCTAGTCAGCAAGGAGGAAATGCTTTCTCTAAATTGTCAACTACAGAAGGTACAGCTGGCTGCCAAAAGCTGCTGCATATGAGTATTTCCTTGTTGCCATATGGATCAAAATCTTATCAACTGGACTGGTCCTCCAGAAGGATATGTGTAACTCCTTCCTTCAGAAATAAAGACTTCCCTCAGCTTTGTTTTAAAATATTTTGGTTCACAATGAAGACATGAAGCCCAGCAGGTGAATCAGGGGCCTTCCATTCAAAAGTTCCAGTCTAAGCCCTTTGGGAAAGGGAATTGTTTGAAAATACCTGAACCACTTAATAATATAGAGGAGGAATTGCATATTCTTGCTGTCAGACCTCAAATAAATAAATAAATAAATCAAATCGCAGGCTAGCAGAGTTTGGATAAAGGAAAAAAAAATCCTGTTACAGATAAAGACTTTAAAAGATTTTTCTCAAAATCGTAAGACTCTTTTGCATTTTTCCCTTCTTCTAATCCTGTTTTTCTCCCCTTGTTCTCTGCCTTCTTGGATCCTGTATAAGCTAATCTGCATGATACCCATGGCAATATCATGGGCAGGGGGAAGCATATAACACTCTCGTGAGTTTTGCCATGCTGCTGGTCTATGTTTTGTCTGCAGACCCTGAAAAGTCACTGGCTTAGGAGAGCAAATCTACTTGTAAGCGTTTCTGAATCTCCCAGTCCTAAATATCCAATGGTGCAAGACTGCTGTGGACTAGTTCTACTCTTCATGATACCTAAATGTTATTAGCATCTGTGGTGAGAGAGAGGGTGAAGTGTGGCAACCAGTTTGACTTTCTCAGGTAACTGATACTCTCACAGCCTGTGCTGCTGTTTCCCACACATGGAGCACTGTGGACAATAGTTGAAAACGTCAACTGTGTTGGGGGCAACACACCTCCAAGCATGCATGCCATGCTACAATAAACAAAGGTGCTAAACTGGCACTGGTGCAATTTGTCCTCCATCTTGAATAAAAAATCCAGAGAGGAAAAAAAGGAGAGGAGAAAAAAGGTGTACGAGCAATGCTTTATGTCTAAGAAACTCAACTACAGGGCAAGTAAAGGAGGTTTCTCTGGGGACCTCTTCTTGTGGAGTGAGAAGCCAGGAGGAGGGAAACAATATGCAGAACTTAAAAAGGTTCAGGAGAAACTGCTTTTGACGTGCACGAAGAACTCTGGGGAAGGGCTTAAACAAAAATCCTGTTGATAGGGGAAAAAAAAAATTAGGCAAAATCCACTTTTAGGCAAAAGCTCTTGTGGGACAAGCTTTGACAGCCTCTGCTTGGGAACACAGTTCTCACTGCCCTGCTTCCACCTGGAACTAAGTCTTCGGTCCTGAAGAGCCTCCCTCTTCAGTTGGCTTTAGCTTTTTAAGGAGCAAAGTGTCAAACCTCTTAATTTTCTAAATATCAAAGCTCAGATGTACAGTTCGAGTCAAAGCGGTAGAATTAATTTTTCTTTTCTCTCTCTTTTTCTTTGTCCACCTACTCATAACATCTAAGGCCTACATAACTTACCCCCTTAAAGTAACAAACTTCCATCAATTTCTGATGTCCTCGACTAAGCCATCACTCCTGAGGCTGACCTAATTCCAAGGAGTGGGGGCATTTCAGAACGTAAAACCCTGAGAGATGTTGTTAGAGGAGTGTGTATTGATAAAAGAAACAAATTAGAACTGGGTCAAGTTTGTCTTGATTGCTTTCCGTCATGCTATTAATTTGTATTTTCTCATACCTGCTGAGAACCAGAGCTGAGTAAACCACAGCCCTCTCACACCAATCACTTCAGTGTAACTCAGGCATGTGCTCCAGGTGGTACCTAGCAGTTTTTTAACATTGAGTGGGCTACAGTTTGGATGTATACAGTCCTTACGTGGCATATTTCTAATATATGAGTGCTATGAGCAATTAATTACACCACAGTCAGTGACTCGGATATTTTGCACTGTGGATGTAGCACAGCTACACTGTGTTAAATAATGCTACTGGATCCATAGGAACCTCATGAAAAACAGAGCAGTCTGTCATATGCAAGCACACTTGTAGCCAAAGCTGGAGGAAGAGGGGGGTTCTTACCCACAGGAGTGCAAAGAAATTTCTTTTCACTTTTCATATCTAAAATAAATATCTGAACCTCAAGTTATGAGCATTGAACCTATTCTAGTCTGGGTCTACAGCTGCAGTGTTGAACATTAGATAGGATCAGGTGCCAGGAGTGGTGCAAAGCCACAAAACCATCAGATATGAGCTCTAGAGTAAAGAAATAAATATTTTTGTTGTGGGACATGGAGTCTGTTCCCTGTGAGAAATGCTAAAGCAGGAAAAACAAATGCACAGGGAACACTGTTTAAACAACACAGCCCTTCCCAAACTAGAGGCAACATATCCCACATTTAATTAAAAAGGGAAGGATTTTGACAACAATGCCATAGAGCCAGGAGAGGGTGGTGGTCCTCACATCTAGATGAGGGCTCTGACTATGGTTTGGTGCTTAATAGAGGCTTGACTTTGTGCTAGCACTGGAGGGACCACAAGTTTCACCTAAGATTTTGTATTCAGGCATTCTGGGACCTTCCTTCGGCTTATTGCACAATAAACTCTTGTTTTAAATTCTAACATAGTATTTGCTTAACATGTTAGGATCTGGGGATGTGAATTTGAATTTTAAAACCTTCAGAGTTGCTATCATGGCTAATGTTGTTGTTTCATCATTAAATTAATTTATCAGACGCAATAATATGAATTTTTTTTGTGCTAAAAATCTTCACAAAAATCCTCTTTGTCGTGATCAACATTAGGATAATATTCTGTACACACAACCACACAACGCACATTCTGCACACACAACCATACAATGCACATTCTGCATTTTCAAAATTTGCTGGTAAATGCTCTTGCTGCATCTAACATCTGTGTGAGAGAGCCAAATATGTTTCTTTACAAGTCCACTAAAAGTTTTCCTAAGCTTTAATGAGCAGGATGCTCTCCAAGCAACATACACAGGTGATGAGATATCACACCTTCCTTGCTCATACATCTGTCATTATTTAGCTGTACCTATTCTCTTTTGAATCTGTGACTGCAAATCGGAAGCTGTTTCCATTCTCCAGAATCCTTCACTGGACTTTCAGGGATAAAAACACACTTTAAAACGTGCAAATCCGTGGCAAAATGAAAATCTTCTTTTTAATACTGTTGGCAAAATTGACAGCTCTACTTAACAGAAGCCATTAAATTATTTACAAAGTAGCAGCTGCTCCTCTAGCAGCCTTTTTTTGGGCATGAAAAATAAACTAGTTGATAAGTGAGAGATAAGCCATTTGACTTCTTCTTTGTGTGCCTGGCATGGTACGCAGAGCCAATTCTGTACAATCTGATGTTTACAGAGCAATCCTCATGTACGACCTCCTTAGGCAACAGGGACACAAGAAGCCTTTAAAACGCTGAAGCAAGCATTTAATCAGAACTCTTCATGCTGATCTTTGAAAAATTCAATAAGTTCAAAAAATGTGACTCCTTCTAAAGATAAAATACCAGGTTTTTGCTTCAGGAGTTGCAAATATATCCCAATGAACTCCCAGTGAACCACACAGACTTCAGACACACTGCTGTTTTACCAAAAATAAAGAGGTAAACAGTAGCATTCTTCCGAGAGAAACAAATCAATGGTTCGAAGAAATGCAAATGGTTAAGCAAAATGAGAGTTGTAAAACAGTAGAGTTTAATAACAACAATCACACTCTTTTTTTTTTTAGGAATTTAAATAATTTATTTACTTGAATAGCTAATTTTTTGTGAATATGTTCATATCTCCTTTTATTATGCATTAACTTTTTTTTTTTTTTTAAATTTAAGTGTTTATTTTTACCTGTTGAAAGTAAGCTCTCATGATTCTGTGAGATTTTGGGTATTTTTTGTAAGGCAAGTAACTGTTACAGGAGTCATGAGACCAAGCCTGATTTCACACATTATCAAGTTGTTCTACCTTAACTCTATCCCAGGTTTTCTCAAACTACATGAAGCTACTTCTAAAGCCACTGGGTAAAATCCTTTTGGTATCAAAATCAGTGGAAACTTCCATTACTTACTTGAGTGTGGTCAGCTCTTTTTTTCTGGCTACAATTGTTCTCCTGAAAACCTCTTTCTAAATAAACATATTCTAATAAAATTGTTTCGTTTCAACAAATTCCTCCAGGGAAACCACAGAGCTTTGTTTGTGAGTGTGGAAACATGCAACTTCAAACTTCTTTGCTTCTTTGGGGCTAGTTTTCCATAGATTCTTATTTTTAGATTATTTTTCTGTTGTTTTGTTAATTCCCAAGGCTGACATGTTTGCATTTGACAAATACAAATTGCTGAAATATTGTTTTATAGTACTTTTAAAACTCATTGAGAACAGCTGTTAGTGCTTAGAGAGCTGGAATAGGTGCATTAAATCTGAAAATCTCCCGTTTCTGTTGTAATTTAACAATTTGATACCAGAGAAGATAAGGCACTTTCATCACTACTAATAGAATCAACCCTTAATAGTAGCATAACGTCATTATTTTGCTAGTTGGATGTTAGGGGTATATCAGAGGTATTAGCAGTTGCAAAACTGTTTCAGTGGGTGTTCCAGGAAATGTAAGAATGAATATAAAAGTTATGCGCTAATACTAAAGAAGTAGCTAACATTTATAAAGAACTCCTTTTTATTTTGTAGTGTAGACAGTTACACTTCACTTAGCAGCCT